CCAACCTTGCAATTTCTTCCATACTCTATCCAGCAAAGCTTCAAATACCCCCCGTTTTGACCTCCCCAAAATACTTGGAATACCAAGGTATTTTTCATGACGTTCCACCTGCTTCATTTTCAGAATTCCCAGAATTTCTTCTTTTTGCTCAATTCTAATCCCTTTACTGAAGGACACTTCCGATTTTTCTTAATAGATTTTTTGCCCGGATGCTGCTTCGTACTGGTTGAGAATATCAACAATGTGTGAGCATTCTCGCTGGTTTGCCCTAGTAAAAAGGAGATTGTAATCTGCAAAAAGAAGGTGAGAAATTTCTGGACCTCTTCGACTAGCTCTAACACCATGAATATCTCCCTTTGCTACCTTACTCCGGATCATATGAGAGAAAGCATCAGCCACAATAATAAATAAGTAAGGAGAAAGGGGGTCACCTTGTCGTAGACCTCTAGTGGGAGTCACCGCGCCACAAACCTCCCCATTTATTACGAAGGAGTATGTCACCGAGGACACAAGCTTCATCACCAAATTGACCCATCTTCCATCAAATCCCATCTTCAAAAAAAGTTGCAGCAGAAGCCCCACTCGACCCTATCATAGGCCTTGCTCATGTTTAGCTTCATAGCAATGTGGCCCTTTCGGCCCTTACTTCTCTTCTTCATCATGTGGAAACACTCCAAAGCAATCAAAGCATTATCAGTAATTAACCGACCGGGCACAAAAGCACTTTGATTTTCTGAAATAATTTCAGTTAGCACATTCTTTAATCTAAGCACTAGACATTTCGAGACAAGTTTATAGAGTACATTACATAAACTAATGGGTCGAAACTCCATAGCATTTTGGGGTACTTTGACTTTTGGGATGAGGGCTATGTTTGTTTTATTAACATACTCGGGGAAAGGATTTCCATTCAAAATTCCAGTGACAATTTGCTACATCTTTACCAACAATGTGCCCAAAACGTTAATAAAAAATAGCATGCATACCATCCGGGCCGGGAGCTTTGCTAGGGTGCATTTGCTTTAGGGCTATATGAACCTCCTCCTGAGTATACGGTCTTAAGAGCATATCATTCATGGCTTGAGAGATTGTAGTGGGCACCCTGGAAAGAACCTTATCAAAATCATCGTCAGTGGGATTTGAGGATGTAAAAATACCTTCAAAATAGTCGCCAACGATAGCAGCAATATCCTCATCTTCAGTTCGCCATACCCCGCTCTTGTCCCATAGACCGTTGATAGCGTTCTTGAGAAGCCTTGTGGTAGAAATACTTAGTGTTTTTATCGCCTTCACTGATCTTCGCCACTCTAGACCTCACATGCCAATAAGCCTCGTACTTTTCTTGTAACCCATCAAGTTTTTTCTCAAGCTCAGTACACTCCTTGCAACTGTCTTCATTTATTGGCTTTTCTTGGGCTTTTTGCAGGGCAAATTGAGTGTCTGCAATCTGCTTCTCCAGCCTATTGAAGTGCTCATCACTCCATCTCATGAGATGTCTGCCCACCGTAGCCACCTTCCCCACCATATCCAAGGACGCAGATCCATCCCACACACTCTTTACAATCTCTTCACAACCCTCGTCCGTCAGCCAGAAGGTTTCAAACTTGAAATCTTTCTTCTTCTTTTTTCTCTTTCTTGTGCGAGTGGCATCGCAATGAAGGAGGATGGGAGCATGGTCTTATTTTATCCTCGCTATATGTTCAACCGAAGCATTTTTATACATCGAACACCATGAAACCGAGCCAAGGAATCTGTCTAGCCTTTCCCGAAGTCTTGTAGCTGGAGTTTTTCTACACTCCCAAGTGTACTAAGTGCCCATATAACCTAAATCCCTCAAACCACAATCTGAGATCACCTCTCTAAAATTCTCTATCTCCTTCCTTACACCTTGCGCACCCCCTTCCCTTTCATCATATGAGAGTAATTCATTGAAATCCCCCCTCCCATCAAAATTGGAACCTCTTCTTCGCACAAGTGACGTATAAGTTGCCAGGTCTTAACTTTTTCTTCTGCCCTTGCCCAACCATGTATCCCAACGAACCTCCATTGCAGCGTATCTTCATTCCAGATGTTACCACATATGTGGTGGTGCGAGTAAGACACAATCTTGAAATCAATCTTCTCCTTCCAATACACACATAATCCCTCAGCACGTCCTCTGCTTGATACGCTAAAAGCCCCGTGGAAACCCAAAATTCCTTTCAAGTCTTCAACCACCTTGCTCTCCACCATCTTCTCCAAAATGAAAAGTATCCTTGGGCTAAATTTATGACTCCATTTGAGGAGCCGACGAACTGATCGGGGATTGCCCATTCCACGACAATTCCAAGCTAACACACTCATTGGGTGCGGCGGGGTTGGTCATTACCAACCTCCGCCTTTGGCCCCACACCACTAGTGAATGTTGTGTATATTATCTTCTTCCCTATATGCATCTCCTCCTCCATCACCTCTCCCTCCTCCCTACCCCGCTTCCCCCTTTCCACCATCATGCCCTCTTTTGTGTTTCCTTCTCCTACCTCCCTTGCTATCATTTTCCAATGCCGCATCCCCCTTTCACCCCTACACCAGCAGTAGCACATGATAGTTGGTTCTCATTTACACCATCAGCACACGTTACAACACCCATGTCTTTGAGGCACCCTACCTGATCCTTCCTCCTCAATTCTAGCCCATTTTCTGCCCTAACAGGAAACGTCATGGTGGTTTCATTCGAATTCTCATCAACATTTCCTTGGACATTAGGCAAATTCTGAGCATGTGAGACGTCTGCCCCTTCCTTAGCCACCCCATCTTCCACCTTCTCATTATCCTCAGGGGTTTGCTGATTCTGTTTTGTAATAAAAATTCTCCTTACGGCATTGCTTAAATCCCCTGATTTTATTTAATTAAAACCACTCATAATAATTTTTATAAATCCCCCATAATAATAATAATTAATTAAATAAGAGAAAAGAAGAAGAAGAGGTAGAAAACCAAGGGAAAGAGAGAGAAGTGGCGGCAAGGTGGGGCAACCTTCCGGCAGGTGGTTGGAGGTGGCGGTCGTGGTGATTAGTGGTGGTGGCACAAGAAAGAAAAGAAAAGAAAAAAAGAGAAGAGAAATTAAAGAGAATTGGATTTGCGTTGGAAAGAATAGACAGAATTTGCAGAGGCCATAACTTCTTCAATATAACTCCGAATTAAGTAATTCTTGATTCTAAACTCAATGATTTTTCAAGAGAAACAATTTTTTGTGAAATAAAAAAACCTCAAAACTGATCAGAAGTTCCCGAAAATTAGCTCCAAAGATATACGGGCTAATTTTCTTTTAGAAAAGAGGAGAAGAAGAGTAGGAGAGAAGAAGAGAATTGAGTTTTTGGTGTGAAGAATATGAGAGGTATGAGAGGGTATTTATAGGCTAGCTCATGCAAGAATTATGGCAAGAGAATGTGGGAAAAATTATGGTAAAAAGAATTAAGGAAATTACTTGGAGAAGAGAACTTAATAATTATGGAAAGTTTAATATCAAGGTGAATAAGAATAATAAAATTAAGGAAAGTATGTTGTCATGAAAAATAATATGGCAAAGGAGGTTTACTTGGGGAATAATCAAAGATAAAATAAGGTAGGAAAATAATATGATCAAATATTTAGGAGGTGGAAAATAAAATTAAGGAAAATAAGAGATTTTAAGGAGATAATTAAAAATACAATTTACCAAAATAAATCACCCAAAAATCCAGCCAAGTGGCCGAAATTTTGAGCTTCCATAGCTCCAAAATTTCGGACATCTTTGTAGTATTTAGGAAATATTTTGCTAGATTTAAGGCTAAAAAATAATTGTGTAAATAATATTTATTGTATAAAATAATTAATTAAGAAAATACTAATTATTCACTAAATAAAATAACTAAGAAAATCAGATTCTACATATAGAACATCCGAAATCATAGTAATTGAATTAGGAATTTTTGGCCCTTATAAATAAATAATAAAATATAATTTTGTTTAATTAAAATATCCGAAATATATAAATAATCCGGTTTTAAAAATAAAATAAATAGATAATAAATCTTATTCAAAATCCAAAAATAATAATTAAGTTTTAAAATACTTTTGGCGCCAAAATTCAAATAGTAGAATAAATTACTAAAATACCCTTTTTAGAAAATAATAATTAATTAATTAATTAGAAAATACGTTTCAAAAATACGGGGTATTACAACCAACACCCACCCACGAACCAAAAAACCACCCACAAACAACAAAACCACTAGATCTACCAAAGGAGATGAAAGATGAGAAATGAAGAAGGAGATGAGAGATGAGAAATGAAGAAGGAGATGAGAGATGAAGAAGGAAGAAGATGATGAAGTGAGGGATGAAGATGGAACATAGGCATGTTGGATATATAAAAATTTATTCAAGGGGAGCCATGAAAAAAAAAAAAAGAATTATAAATTGCAAGATTTGGGGCAAGTTTCAATTAGTTGTTTCCACCAAATTGTATGATGCATCTATTTGATAACTGGAGAAAGCTTTCAAGCACCAATACTTCACCAAGTTTACTCGAAAATTCTCACTTTATAAATAGAGGCTCTCTACTAATACTTCATTTGGAGAGGAGGGAAGGAAAACAAGGAGAAAACAAGGAGATCAAAATACAGAGAAAAATCTGGAAAGGAGAACTTCAAATCATCAAGAATATCACCAGTTCAACCTCTACATCAAATAGTCATTGATCAAGATCAAGTCTCGTCGGCCCTCAATCAAGAATTTAAATCAAAGGTCTACATCAACAAGCCAAAGGTGTACATCAACAATAAGTCAAAGTTTTGCATCAACTGTCTTCGATCGTGATCAAGCCTCAACAACCCACGATCAAGAATCAAGTCAGCCCGTGAAACAAGTCAAAACTTCAGAGGAGAGACTGTACCCAAAATTATCAAATTAATAAATTTAATACTTTGTCGCATTTGTTTTGAATCTATAATCTATAAATTGGATTTGTAAATCGTCTATGAACCAGCAAACATGAATTGTGAATTGATATCCGAGCTGAAAAACCCCAGAAGATGCAAATAATACAAAGGATAACAAGACTGTTTTAGGAGTAAGTAGTTCTGTAGAAACTGATAATTCTGAACCATAATATACACACAACTAAGAAATCTACAACTCAAAAAACATGTCCATGGAATTTTACACATTTCCAATCTCATCAACAAAACTTGTCAGCAATTGACATTCTTGAGCAACTGAAAAACTTGCGTCTTATAAGATAACTATGCATTTTAAGTGTTACACGATGAAACAAGCTAACACACCTATCCAAACCAAATAGTGTTTCGTTAGCTGAGCCGCAAGCTTAGAGCACTCAAAGCGGGTGGTCTTTTGTATGCAAGTTCTTGGTTCACGATTTACCATGTATTGTCAAAGCAGACACACTACTTGCTGCACAATCTAAAGCATAATTTCACAGCAATTCGAAGAAAGGGCAAGTGAGAGAACAGCTATCACTGAGCATCGGGGGGTCATAGATCAGAAGAACCGTCTTCTGAAAGTGCGTGTTGTTCCTTGGTAGGTTTTAACCAGCAAACCAACGCCTATTCCAATTCCAAGGCAGACACTAAGGCCAATTCCAACACCAACCCTTACTCCTGCATTGAAAAATGAGAGTTCACCATCTTCGCCTTCAAAATACTCGGTACCTGGATAATAGTTGCTGTATCCTTCATTTTCCACCTACACCACATGGAGTGATCTAACGTCTTAAAAGAGCAAAGATTAAGCATGTAACAATCAGCATTTGCAGTCCATTTTCAGCTTGACAATGAGGAAAGTAGAACCAGAAACAAAATCAATAGTTGAGATCGACAAACATCCACTCAAATTACCAAAACATAGAGCAAGTTGAAAAATAGAATGGAAGACACTATTATTCAAATTTTAAAGCCAATTTTGAGGCATTTACAGAAAACCTATTTTTCAGCTAGAGATTTTTTTTTTTGTTGAGACATAAGTGTATTATGAAACATGGTGTCAAATAAACAACTTCATTTTTCTAATAACCATCTAGCAGTACAGTTCAAGCTAAAAACGTAAAGGAAAAGGTTAAGTGCTGTTGAGCCTCTTTTCTAAAGGGTAAAACCATCTAATTTATCAGGGCCTTATATGGGAGGCAATTAATAAAGTAATAGAGACAAAAAAGTGAATGAAGACAAGGTTTAAGAGGTGGTCAAAGTGGCAATGTTGTCATAATCTGAGGGAGGGAAGGGAAATAATCACCTTCAGTTTTGGATAGTACAGTGGTGGGTAACTATTACCCTCTACCACCCCCCCCCCCCACACACACACACCCCAAATCATTATCTGAATCCATCAGCCACCACCTCCAAGTCCACCATCCACCCTCTTCATATTTTTCATAATGTGAGGCAGGGAAGGATGGAAGGAAAACAAGCACCCTCAGTTTCAGGTAGCGTAGTAGTGGAATATTACTACCCTAATTTTGAGGGTAATAAATTCCCCTACCCTCTGTCTTACACAATCAATATCTCAAATTCTCAATTCATCTGCCACCACTTTCATTCTCTTCATATATTCATGTATTAACCCTTGATACAATACCCTCACTCCAAGCACACCCTCAACAGCTACATAGTGTATAGTTAGAAGGCATATATTCCCAATCCAACTAATAAGATAACATTTCATCCAAAAGGGACTTTTATCCCGTACTAGATGGTAGTTTTGTTGAACAAATGAAGTGAAATTTTTTGGGATGTGAAATTTCCTTGGAAGTAAAAAACGTTATTTGGTTGAGAATAGGAAGTACAACTTCCAGTGAAAAGTTCCACTTACCTAGGGAGGGGGCCTAGTTTAGCAACTCTTCCATATATTGTGAAAAGTGTGACTTTCCATGGTTTTTCCAACCAAACAATACCACAATCTTTCACTTCTTTGGAAAATCTACTTCTCATGATTTTTTTATACCAACCAAGCAATCACTAGGTGTCTATGTATCATCTTATGACCCGTGATATTTGATTATGCAATGTCACCCACCCGCAGTTACCAATAAGATTTTCTAATCGATTTTAAGTTGGTGACATGTCAAGGTAGAGGTGGGCCGTGGGGCACAAGATGAAATATATGATCCCAAACCCATGTAAACCAGGGTTCAACATGATACCATGTTGCCATACAACCATTCCTATTCCACATTACCCAATTCAAGTCATAAAGTTTTAATAAATATTAAGGAAAGAAATGCCCATTGCCACAGAGAACAAAGAGATTACTATACCATCCCTATTTCATAGCATGTGCTAGAAACCCTTGCAAACCAGGGTTCAACATGAAATTGAAAAGCCATATACAACCATCCCTATTCCACAGTACCTACTTCAAGTCACAGAAAGTTTTTATAGATATGAAGGAAAAAAATGTCCATTGTCACAGAGAACAAAGAGATTACTATACCATCCCTACAACATAAAATGTGCTAGAAACCCATATAAACCAGGGTTCAACATGATACCGAGTTGCCATATACAACCATTCCTATTTCACAGTACCCAATTCAAGTCACAGATAGTCTTTATAAATAAGAAGGATAAAAACATGCCCATTGTCATAGAGAACAAAGAGAATTGCACCATCCCTGTATCATAACAAATATAACATGTGCTAGAGCACATACCACATCGACACCTTAAAGATAAGGATTTTTATTTCACAGAACGACAGTAAGCATTTTTCTAAAAGAGTAAACATTATCATGCAAGTATATGACACATTTGTAATGTGATTACATACTAAAATTCATGGAAAAGATACCTGAAGAGAAACATGTTCATTTACAAACCCTAAATTAGTCCAAGAAATACCTGCACAGGAAGTCGGGGTGGAGACTCTTTCTCGCTTTCAGTTGAGTCATTCTCAGGAATTGAATTTAGCATTGCCATTCTTACTTGCTTCCTCCGAGAATTAAGATGCAAACTTTTAGTTAACATTATAGGTGTCCCCAAGAAACATCCAGCAACATACACTTCTATGGTCGGTAAAGCTAATTCAGATCCAATTAACTGTTTCCCTTTTAAAAAGCCAGTACCCACTGTTGCATTCGTTTCACAATTCATACTCCACATCCGAGATACATGATCAGATTCACTACCATCAATATAACCATTGCTCTCACACTTATTCAAATACCCAGAAAGGACAGGAGCATCCCTATCAAGTACCTCAAACTTCACGCTACCTGTTATTCTAATACTGTCTGTGCTCACATATGTAGCCTCTTCAGATTTCTTATCAAGTCGATCCCTTCGGAGAAGAGTTGATACTCCATCAGAATATATACTAGCTCTTACTCCATTTACTTCAAGAAGGGTGTTGGGATCCAATGGGATATGGTTCAAAGTGAGGTTCTCAGGGGTCGAATCATCAATTTCACACTTGCTAATTCTCACATAAAAGACTCTTAAATCAAGCCAAGATAGACGGGGCGAGTGTCTCGAAGTCAAGTGACCATTGTTTCCCAAGAACCCATTGCCATTCACAGTCACATCCATTAAAACTAGAGAGGTACTATCCTTCTTGCTATTTGAAATCCTTCAAGGATGTTGGATGAAATGACTAGAGATACACCATAAAGAGAAGATGAAATTTGTGAAAACATAGGAAGCCTGTAGGCTGTCGCAATACCAATAAAAGAAACCACAGTAAGAACACATACTCTATAATTAAAAATTAAGCATAACACCACCCAAAACCAAATATAACACCAAACAAGAAGAGAGTAAATTCATAAGCTCAAGAGAACAGAAACAACAATACCAACAATCCCATAAAACCTCTCAAAAGCTTAGCGAGGTTTAAATGTGCGCAACCTTACCCCCTAAATCAGACTACAAGAGGCAATTATTCAATTCCAAGTTTACACAGCCCAAAATGAAATGAAATTGGATTATTCAGCTCATAATACACATTTTAAATTGCAAGAATCTAGATAAATAGTGATATAGAGAGCTAGTTAAGCCCCAACTGCTAAAACCAGCAAAAGAAGATAAGAAAGCATGGCAACAGCAGAAAAAACACAATAAGAGGAAAAAGTATCAAATTTTGATGTGGGGTTAAATCCAAAAATAGAGAAAAATGTAAAATCAACCTCAAATGGAAAAACCCAGATAATTTTCATCTGGGTTTAAATAAAAACATAAAGACAAATATACCCACAAAAATAAAATTGATTATTAACTGAATTTTACAGCAGAAAAATTGGTACCAAACAATTACCACAATTTAATCAATCAAAACAAAATCCACCATTGAATTCAATTATATGATCAACAATTTTGCGGACTCATCCAGCATCATACAAAGAGACAAATTTCGATAGGTGTGATCAATTGGTAAATCAAAACAATAATTAAAAAGCAAAAAAAATCAGTAGAAATTTCAGTAATTCCCACACAAATAATATAGAAACTGACCAAAAATATCAAGGATTTGGGTGCTTCCTGAGCTCTAACCACTCTTCAATTGACTTGTATTTGCGCGCAATTGAAGTATTTTTTGGCAATTGATATTTTAAGAGTTAGGGTTTTTCAATGAAACAGTTAAAGAGGGAATTGGATAGAAAGTGCCCAGATCCTGAATTTGGTAATTTGGTTGTTATATTTGTTGTTTTTAATTTTGTGTAAATAAATATTTTATGTCTGAAAAAAATAAATTCATGTGTTTTACTTGGACATGCTCCTAGATTACGTGCATGGTTGATATTTGACCCTTCCCCTTTTTGATAAAAGTTTGACAATTAATTAATTATTTTATTAATATACTAGTAGTGATAATTTTGTAGTTTGATTACTCTTTGAGTTTTGTTAAATTATTGCATATTGAAAAGCAAAAAAAAAAAAGAGAAGAAAAAAAAAAGTTGTTTAAGTATAGGTCACATTTTTATTTCTTAATACTCCTACTTTTTTTTACTTATTTTATCTCCTGGTACTGTACTAGACTTCTAATGTCACAATACAATCGCATCATATAAATTTATTTTATATCTCTTACATAAGTCTAATGTATACCAATTTTACACGAACACAAGAACAAAATTACAGCAATGTTCACTAAAATAGTTTTGGTTGTAGATTAAGGACATTGTGGACTTGTGGTTATTCCTTGTAATCAATTGATACCTCCATAATTATAATGAAGTTATTGCACTTCTATTTAATTTTTTTTAACCGCATTCATTCAAATCATGTATCAATGTTGTTCATAGGATTTATGGTACGCATTTCAATATTTAATTTCCATTACTTCATCCTATTTAAGCTCTTGGATACATTTTTACATATGGAATGAGAAAGTTAGACGTCAATTTTTGTTTGTCAAAATTGTCAACATCGTATTCTTTGTTAGGAATATGAGGACTTTAGGAGGATAATCATGAGAACGATTGCTAAACATCCTCATAAGTCATTATTTAAAGAGTGCATCTTTGGTAAATTATCTTTCATTTATGTAAAATCCATTGGTTTGTAATTTTGTATGCCTCAATTCCTTTTTTTTTGGCAACTTTTCATTATGAATGAATCAACAAAAAATCTTTGTTTATTATTCCTACTGGTGAAAGAATAAAGAATTAATCACGATATATAAATGTACATATGTAAAATCATTACATAACATCAATTAAAACTACGTACCTCTTAAGTATTTAGTATCAATATTATAACAGAAAACCAAAAGTTTAAGGGTTCGTTTGGTATCACTGTTGTTTTCTATTTTTTGGTTTTTTGTTTTCCAAATTATATGATATATATCCTATAATGAACCAAACATTAATTAAATTTATTAAAATCATGATAATTTTGAAAACTGACAACAGAAAAGTGAAAACACTTTTTTCTTGTTTTTTGGTTTTGATTTTTAGTTTTTTAAAAAAAAAAACAGAAAACAAAAAATAAAAAACAATGCCGAACAAACCTTATATAAGAATAGTAGCTATCATTCTTCCATTTTAACTTACGAACTAAGGTATATGATTCAGAACTCAAGTTATTATCAAATTTATTTTTGACACTTATGCTCGCCTAATTATAGTTTAAAACAGTAATTTAATAGCTTAACTTGGACGGTGGGTAACATTTGATGAAAACTTATGATTAGTATATACAAGTACATTTCAAGTGCAAAGATGCAATTTTCTCATGGAAGATGAAATTACAAGGAGTTTTGGCAAATTGAGCCCATACTTTCAGCAGTGATAAATTGATAATAGAGTTCTGTACTTTTGGCAGTAAAATCCTCGGAACAAAATTTCAGGGAAAAAAAGATCCCTCGCCATGTCACGTGAAGTCCACGGAAACGTAACAGTAGTTCACGTGAGACATACATGAAGGTTAGAGAGGCCAAGCCTCTTTGCCCCCAATTTAGGAGCAAACTCTGCTTAAACACAAGCATAAATAGAGTCCTCAATAAGAGAGATAAACAAACCTCTTTATAATAATAATATTGATATTTGTTTTCGGTCTGGATTTCTGGAAGAAAGGAGGTTGACGTTGGGTTGACTAGAGGGAATGACGAGACTCTTCGACCTGCAGATGTGTTACTTTATTCCTGGGACAAAGGCCTTGATGTGTGTGTTGACTTGATGGGTTCTTCTCTTTTAACACAATTTGGGTTGTCTGACAATGTATTTGGTCGTGTTGTGTTGGTTGCAGCTCAGCGGAAGCGGGACAAGTATGGGGCGCGTTGCAGGGCTATTGGCAATGATTTCCTTCATTTCTCCTTTTTTTCATTGGGGGAATTAGAGAAAGAGGTTGTTGCGTTGCTGAAGCGAGTTCAGACGTTTGCTGGGACTCAAGATATTGGTGCTCGTGTAGCTGCTCACATTTTCAGCAAGATCGGGTTCGCTATAGCTAGAGGGGTAAGGGCCCAGATTTTATCTCGGCTCCCCACTAATTTCTTGTGATTCAGTTGACTTTGTAGATTTTTGTCATTTTTCATAATAATAATAATAATAATAATAATATGTCCCTTATAATATTTTAACCATAAGGAAAGCTCGAAACTTTAAATCTTGGATAATTTTTTTTACTGTTTATTCTTATATGTGGTTGGCCACACCGTGTGGCCAATCATTATAGGGGTTACTTCGTTAGTGTAATAGGGGTTACTTGATCAGTATTAAAGGGGCTACTTCGTTAGTGTTATAGGGTTACTCGGTCAGTGTTATAGGGGTTACTTTGTCAGTATTATAGGGGTTACTTTGTTCTTTTATAGGTGGTCACACGGAGTGGCTGGCCACACACAAGACGAGCTGTTTACTAATTACGGTAAGAGTTCAATGTAGTATAGAGTTCTTTGCATAAATTGTCTAATGACCAAAGTCGTACTTCTCTTACAACGTCTATTTTATTTCTTCATATATAACCTCATCATAGACAACCTTCAATTTCGTATGTTGGCGAACTTATCAATTAAACTAGTTAAGATTTGGTATAAAAAGATGTTAATCACTCTGAAAATGACATTAAAAGCTTCTTAATTAGAAACAAACTACCCACTATTACACTTCAGCTGAAGTAGTCTTGCCAACAAAACATTTACCCCTTATCCAAACCCCATACTAAAAATAAATAATAAAAAATTACTAAAAAGGAGAGAGAAAGAAGAAAAAATAAAAAATAAATTAACAAAAAAAAACAAAAAATGTATTTGACAAAGAGATTACTTGCAAAACCTTCTCAACCACAACTAAGTTTCCTTATAAATCAAATCTAGTGACCATTAGTTTCCTAACCCCACAAGATTTTCTACAAAATATGTACTAAATTCGTGGCTGACGATGGTCTTTGTGCCTATTGGAATAATCCGTTCAAGTGCTCTACATCATCCACTAGAAGTGATTGCAACAATACATCATACAGGTTTGAAAGGTTGCAACGAGTGCTTTCACACCTTACATAAACATGGTACAGTGAGCGGTAATGGTCGGTTGCATTTGTAAGGTCACGACGAGTGCTTTCACACCTCACATAGACATGGTAAAGGGAACAGTAATGCTTGGTTGCATTGTCGCTCTCTTCTCAATCTTTGGGATCCTCTACTGCACACAAGACCTTAGTATGCACGAGTGAGTCATAGGAGGATATGGACCCCAAAGACGGAGTTTATTTAGCCCTCAAGGGCCCCAGCCCCCTCCTAAAAAAGGTTTCGGTATTTAAAATCAAAGGATCATACTTCATACATTGGCCTTGGAACCAAAAAAAAACTCAAGTTCTGCGATTTATGGGGCCTACCGGCCTATCTTTGTGCAAAACATGGCACAACATGCTGCCATGCACAATTGCCCAGCAGAAGATTTATTTTCAAACTCTGTGGCTTCCCAATCCATAAAAAGAAAAGACTTCTAAACCCCCATCATTTCCCCTACTTTCTTTAGAGATCTGAGGTCACAAATCAATCTCATAACATAAATTCTGTGATGCTCAAAGAACAAAATACATGTGTATAATGACCGACCAGCTTAAAAGGCATATTTGAGATTCTACAGAAAAGGGCCGCAGGCCACCACGCCTGCCCACCAGCACTAAGAAAATCACAAAGAAAATATAGTAGGTGCTAATAAAGATAAAATTAGGAGAGAACTATACATAAGTTCTCGCCTAGCATTAACACTGTTATTTTGCATATACTTGTCGAGATCATAAAGAGGGATATAAATGTTAATACTAAACTGAAATGGCAATGGAAAATTGATGGTCAGAGAGTAGCAAGAATGGGAAGCAGGCATGCCTATTCTGAAAGGGGGGAAAAAAATCTCCATACAGCTGTAATTCTTGCTCCCAGCTCATAATAGAAAGAAGTTCAAAGGAGGAAAATGCATTGTTTAGCTTTTTAGCCAGCTTGGAGGACTTACATTAATGAACATGGGAGAACTGACATGGAAATAAGAAAACAAAATTGCTAAAAAGGTGGGAAGACTGGGAACCTAAATAAATATTCGGAAAGAGATCGAACCACCGGCAAGAGAAACAAGCTAACACATCATCTTGATTCTGGTCACCGAGGAACTGCAAAGTCTATATATCCCAAGAAAAGAAAAATAACAGAAAATTAGTGGACTGTTTGAGACCATCCTCATGGTAACATCTAAGACTTGACACCAAGGAAAAGTAATAGAAAAAACACTATAACAGAGAAAGAAGGCAAGGCAATAACAAATAATAATGATCAAACACGGAACTTTTTTAAAGCATTAGATGCTAATGTAAAGGAAGTCATGGTCAATCGGTTAGATAATATATTGTGTCCAATTGAAAGGCCAATAAGGCCTAATGCCACTCCTGCCCATGCAGTATCTTCACAGCAAACAGACCATTTACCCACAACTCCTAGAGCAATAACTGAATGGTAATTGAAAAATGAGATCATATGAAACTCTTGAACATCATGGTACTTCGTTACACATGATTATAACCATGTCAGATTATCAGACTCGTAAACTCCAAGCTCAACAATCTTTCCTGCAATATAGTATGAGCCACATTCCGCTCAATCCTCAAAGTGCATATAACTATCATATCCTGTTTAATTCTACTTTTCCTTTTTGGTACTCCTCGTCCTTTACTCAAAAGACCAGCACAGAAGATTCAACAAAATCATGTAGTTCCTCAAACCAAAGAAATCAAGCTGCCTAGATAGCAATATATATCAAGCACCAT